TATATATATATATATGAACCCTAACAGAATATGAAATCATATATCAAATGTAGCAATGTATAAAGATTATTGAGATTACTGGATATTAAGCCTGCTACAAATTATGTTTAGCAAAGTTTTGCTCATGCTGAAAAGACTAAAAGATATCTGTTCATCAAAATGAAGATCTATTAAAACCGAGAAATGTATTGAGTTGATGCAATTTCAGTACATCGCTATTACATACACACGTAAAGCTGCTGCACTGCATCACTTCATAGTTAATACAGTGACATCTAGTCACTTGATGCCCATTCAAAGCATCAACCATTTGCCAATCCAGCCACCAAGGTTACCATAAAACCTCTCTGTCCTGTACTTTCCATCTCAGAGCCCTCAGCCATCAGAGGTCACTAAGAGGAGTCAGTCCTTTGTGTTGTGATGGACATGCACTGGACAAAGCAGCAGGTTAACAGCTCATACAATCAGCTAGTCTTAACTGTCTCTAACTCAATGACCCAATACCACTCAGATGGGATACACTCCCTAGAGACATGTGACAATGACAGATCTAGCATACTGAATGGAAATCATTAACCAAGATGATCTGCACAATCAAAGACTCAAGTGCTAATGGCTTTGAGCAGTGTAACACCAACTTAAGATGTGAACACAGAAATACAGCAAACAACTTTGATATAGACATCACTCAAGGCTAATAAATTCCCATGATAACTTGCTTGTCTTTTTTTTTATGACCGACCATAAAAATCTATAGTTGGCATGAGACTAATGGGATAGAATCACTTACTGTCCTTGTCTGAGCAGGACTGTTGCTAAAATATACAGGGCCTGAAAATGGGTGTTTTAAGTAACAGCTGCAGATGGGACACAAAAAAAACACAAAAATCGGTAAATAATATATAGAGAACAGGGCACCAGACCATACAATCATTCTAATATGGAAAAATGTCACTTAATACTGTAAAAGAAGAGCGAGAAAATAAACATAAAATATTATAACATACATTATTAAAAATAAATAATTACAAAATTCAATTAAAATCTGAAAAATCTAAAACTAGTACAGACAAATACATACCATAAAAGATAACATTTATTTACCTAATCTGTCATAGACTTACTACAGCTTAAAGTCTCTTTTTATTTTAATATTGTTTTCAAATTTAAACTTTTATGTGTATTGAACCTGAAACATGCCATCTTGTGCAGGACTTGTTCTGGATCTGAAGGTTTCTGCTGTCTGTGATCATCAGACATCTCTGATCCTGCCAGAGCTTTTGCAGCTATTGGCACTGACAAAAGTTTAACAACAAAACCCTTTCTTGATACCCGAGTTTCTACTGGCACTGCTCGGTTTTATGTAACAGATGATAATAAAGCGGTGAAGTGGAGAAATGGAGATCTGGTTTGCCAGAACCCCAGCAAACCAGATGAATACTGTCTTCATACTGTATTTGTAAGCTTGAATGCTTTTTACCATGACCCTATATGAGCATATATGTCCTAACTCTAACCATTCAGCAGAAGAACATGGTCAAGAGTGATTCTTCAATCGCTAGGACAAAACAAGGAGTAAAAGTGCCAGTCTGTCTGTGGAAGCTCATTATTAATTAGTTACAAAAAACGACTTTTGCACACACTGACAAAAATTATCTATATTGCTATCAAAAGCACAGTGATATGCAATAAATATCTGTATTTCTGATCACGTCCATCCATCAAAATCCATCTTTCTTGTGCGAATATTCAGCCACTTAAATTAATTAATACACATTGTTTGCTAAACTACAGTTTCATTATTTTAAAGGGATACTCCACCCAAAAATGGAAATTCTGTCATTATTTACTCTCCCTCATGTTATTCCAAACCTATATGACTTTCTTTCTTCTGTGGAACACAAAAAGAGATATTTTGAAGCATGTTGATGATAACCATAACCAACTCGTCTTCAACAAGCCCAAAAGGGCCCGCATCACACCTCTCTTTATCTCCCTGCACTGGCTACCGGTTGCGGCTCGCATCAAGTTAAAGACATTGATGCTTGCGTATAGAACAGCCACGGGCTCAGCACCCTCCTACTTCCACTCACTATGATGGAAGCTGACATTCCATTCCGGCTGAATCTTCCCCAAAGCAGGACTCAAAACAGGTGAATATCCACCCCAGCCATCCTGCAATAATGGGAACCTTGTGTTGCACTTTCACTCTCTAATGTCACACAAGCAGTGATGTCATTTCCTGCGGCCATCGCTGGCCTTCTGCAGTAAAAGCCCTGCCTGTAACGCCACACATTCTAATCGGGTTAATGATTACGTTTCATTAGAGGGACAGACTGGCTGGTCAGTGGGAGCAGCTGCCACCCCTCACAAACATCTCAACCTTTATCCATTAGCTCTCATCAGATGCTGGGACGGGTAGTGGAAGACACCCCCCAGGCGGTCCACCCTCCCCTGGACTGACCTCTGCAGATGAGCCCCTCATTGTTTACAGTCTGCTTGCACACGCCGCATTGCTTCCCCTTCTTGAACGTCTTCAGCCGGAAGGTGTGGGAGTGAACGGTTTCAAACTCTTCAGGCTGCAGTGGAAAAGAAACAAGGAATATTATAGAGACACAATAAGGACTCTTACTACTTACAACTACAGCAATATGATCAAAGAAAGAACGAAAGAAAGAACAATAACATTAATAAACAGCAACAATTACCTGATTATGTTTTCATAAAACAATGTAGTATATGAAAAATATGCTCTGTAAACGCATTTAAGTCATGACACAAAACAAAACACTGAATCAAAGTTTTGAATCAATGAAATAAAATGGACAGTTTGAACCAATTCATGAAGTATAAAAATATAAAATGTCTATTGTAAATTAATGGCCAAAAAAGTACAATAAAACCAATATATATTTAATTTAATTAATTAATATAATGATATATAATTATGTGTGTGTCTGTGTGTGTGTATAATATATATATATGATTTTTGCTATTTTTGCTATTTTTTTAATGTTTAATTTAATTCTCTTACACTCACCAAGGCCTAGTTTAACTAAAAATACAGTAAAAACTATATTTAAAAGTAATTTATTCTTGTAATGCAAAGCTGAATTTTCAGCATCATTACTCCAGGCTTCAGTGTCACATGATCATTAAAGACATTGATGCTTGCGTATAGAACAGCCACGGGCTCAGCACCCTCCTACTTCCACTCACTCTGGAGGGGGTCTACATCCCCTCCAGAAGCCTGAGATCTACAAGTGAGCGACGATTCGTGGTACCATCACAGAGAGGCACAAAATCGCTTTCCAGAACATTTTCGTTCACCGTTCCGGGCTGGTGGAATGGTCTTCCCACCCCCATCCGGAATGCTGAATCCCTGACAATTTTCAAGCGACAACTGAAAACTCATCTCTTTCATCAACATTTGACTGCATCCTAATTATAAAAAAATTTAAAATCATTCTAATATGCTGATTTGCTCAAGAAACATTTCTGATTATCAAAGTTGAAATCAGCTGGACTGCTTTATATTTTTGTGGGGAAAAAGAATAGCTAAATTGTTACCGGCTGACATTATTTTAGCAATTGCCATTATTTCACCCAGTGCCTAATAATTTCAAGTTACATATGTACTATATATCCCTATTCTTATGAGTGTGCACATGTACAAGAAAAGCAGCTTATCTAAAGACAAACAAAATGTTGAGATCGCCTTGTTCTCTCTTCTCTAAAGTGAAAATTGAACCCAGAGCATTTTCAATGAAACACAGAACCTTATTTGGGAATGGTGCAGCTGCGTTTAGGTATGACTGAGGCACCCTGTGCTTCACCCTCAGTAGGAGCTGAGAGGGGAGAGAGGGGCCATCCAAAAACAAGAGAGACATGGACAGGATTTGGGCCGCTGCAGGTGTGTAATGTAAGCTGGAACCGCACATTTGGATCTGACAGGTTCAGATAGGCTGTGCTCCCTGGAGCAGAACCCCTTCTTTTAGGCCCCCATGTTTTCGATTTCCATAATGATGTCTGACGTTTCTTTTTTCTGCCTAGATTTAATGTTCAACCAAGAGATACAAACAAGAGAGTGCTAAAGAACTTAAGTAAATTAATTTGTTGATAACGTGCATGATGACCGGTAACGGAATTCTATCATGATTTAACACTTCATGGGGATTTACTTATATCTATGTTACAGCATTCATTGTGAAACCAACCTAAAATTCCCTAAAAAAAACAGTACTCTACAAGAAGCAAGACTTTACATGTCTGGAAAAGAAAAAGAAAAATAGCAGTACAGTCCAAGGTTATTATACTTATCTAAAACTAAAACCACACAAACACATATTTATAAAATAAATAAAATAAATTAAGTTTATCAAT